TTCTGGTACTTTTGATGATCACGGGAAGGTGAAGGTGTGATCGTACAACTCCTCATATCTCATGATTTATGATTTGATTCTGGGGATACTCTGATGATTAAACTATTTTGAAAACGAATTGTAATAACTTAATGGTTTTAACTGGTTTAAAAAGTTTTAAATTTGCTTGAATTTTATGGGTGTTACAGAGAGACATGTAAACACCTCTATATAAGGTGGGTTCCATAACACTTGTAGAGGTGTGCTTGAGTGATGTAGTTCATAGTGACTAGTGAGTGAGATATTTATGAAGTTCTAGTTTAGTTCCCATTTTGTACTGATTTACTATGATCGAATGCATCTTTTAGCACCCAAATCACTGTGTTCTTTGTGTTCTTTAATTCTGCATGCCAAATCAAATGCTCATAATTCACATCATGTAGCAACAAGCAAATCATCAAAGGAGGCAATTTGGTTGAATAACTTCACCGAAGACCTTGGAGTTGTTATAGTCGTTAAGGTGCCAATGGAAATTTTCTGTGATAATGAAGGAACGGTTTCCTTGACAAAGGAACCAAGAGATCATGGCAGATCAAGACATACCGACAGAAAATACCATTTCATCATACATAGAGTACAAGAAGGTCACCTCGTAGTAAAGAGGGTATCATCAGAAGAGAATCATGCAGATCCCCTCACAAAGGGTCTGAGTAGGATCAAACACATTCAACATGTTAGGAGCACTAGTCTCAAATATGATATTAGTTTTAGTAGTTAGATATTTAGTTTGAAACTTGTAACAAAGTAAATGTACTTGACTTTTGGTTATTAAATAATATAGAGTAATTTATGAGTTTGTGTACTACCTTTTATTAATTTTTTATTATTGTGTTTCATTTTTGCATGTTTTACTTCTTAGATAATTCGATTATTCAAACTCCCAATTGTTCGGACTTTTGGAAGTAAGTAGTGAATTAAGATTTTCATGAATTAGATTGTAGATTGTCTAAAGAGTTTTAGACATAGCAATGGTATTGCTGCAATGTTCACGAATACTTTGAAATTGAGATTTAAGTATTGGATTAACCCACGTTCATAGAATTTCTTCATTGAATTTATCACGAGTAATTCTGAGACGATAACATCTTATAATCTTAAAACAGAGATATATGAGTTGTGGTTTATAGGTCAATTGTGCATTGATGATACGTAAAAGCATCAGTAACTTGATGTTAGAAAATATATTGTTATGCATGATCTGATGAGTAAATAAGGCAATCACATAAGATAAAGTTTATTCGTTCCTTTTGCCTTAATGGGAAAAGTGATATCTTTGGGCTCCTTGGTGATTTGGAGTTGGCTTATAGTGTCGGGCACGGCCAGGACTAAATTGATGTGTTTTATTAGAAATTCTATGTCATCACAAATCAAAAATCGGGAAACAAAGTATTGGACATTGAGATTGATTATGTTCCATATCTCATGCACGAATGATATCTCATAGAACGGATGATTATATGATCACTTATCTTAGGACACGTCACTGATTGTGTCAGAGTTCGATAACGGCTTTTGGAAGCTACAATTTGTTGATCAATTTATAAGTTATACTGACAGTTATAGTTATTAGACTTATTCAAGCGGGAGACTGTTGGATTAGGTGTCTAAGTTTAATTATTAATTAAATAATATGATTTCTAATTAATATATTATTTTCATAGCACATTAATAAACCATTTATTTAATTTATTATTCACATAATAAATTAATCTCTCTCTCTAAAATCATCCTGTCCAATTGCTAGGTTTGAGGGCTACCCAAAAGGACAGTGTGCTACTTTCAATTCAATTATATACCAATTTTAGTGATGGGCTTAGACACCTAATCCAACAGTCTCCCACTTAGATAAGTCTTTAACTATAATTTCCAGTATAACTTCTAAATCGATCAAAAAATTGTAGATTCTAAAAGCCGTTGTCGAACTCTGACCAGGTCATTTATGTGTCCTAAGATAAGTGATTATATAGTACTTCATTCTGCAAGATATCATTCGAACATAAGACATGAAATATAATAAATCTCATTATCCAAACTTTGTTTCCCGAATTCTGATTTGTAATGACATAAAACTTCTAATTGAACATATCAATTTAGTTCTGGTTGGGCCCAACACTATAAGTCAACACCAAATCACCGAGGGGCCCAAAGATATTGCTTTTTCCTGTTATGGCAAAAGGAACGAATAAACTTGATTTATATGTTTGCACAATTTACTCACCAAATCATGCATGACAATACATTTTATAACATCAATTTACTAATGCGTTTATGTATTTTCAATGCACAACTGACTTGTAAAATACAACTCATATATCTATGTTTCAAAATTATAAGATATTATCGTCTCAGAATTACTTGTGATTAATTCCATGAAGTAATTCTCTGAGCGTAGGTTAATCTAATAATTAAATCTCAATTTCTAAGTATTGATGAACATTGTAGCAATACTATTGCTATGTTTAAAACTCAGTAGACAATCTACAATTCAATTCATGAGAGTCTTAGTTCACTACTTACTTTCAAAAATATGAATGACTGTGGAGTTTTGAATAATCGAATTATTCAGGAAGTAAAACATGAAAAAATGAAACACAAGAATAAACAATTGACAAAAGGTAGTAAACAAACTCATAAATAATTCTCTATTATTTAATCACCAAAAGTCAATTACATTTACTTTGTTACAAGTTTCAAATAACTATCTAACTACTAAAACTAATATCATCTCTCATACCTATGCTCCTGGAATGTTGAACGTGTTTAGCTCTACTCAAACCCTTTGTAAGTGGATCTGCATGATTCTCTTCATATGATATTCTCTTCACAGTGAGGTGATTTTCTACTCCTCTATGTTTGATGGCTAGGAGCTCATATTTATATTTGACTCCACCGTTTTGACAAACCAGAACCAGAATTTCATAAATTGGGCAATAAGAAAGAAAAATGAAGAAATATGGAAAGAAGAGATGGATAAAGATCTAACTAGTTTATCATTAGAGGTATGCATGTCGTGCGAGAGATTGAGCAACACCTAGGCTTGTTAGTCCCGAGATATCAGCTGCAACAAATTTTGAGATATAAGGGCAATTTTAAAGTTACTGCAAGAAATTTTGTTCATAGGAAAGGATGACGAAGATGTGTATCAACATGTGGAAAACATGTTGGAAATTGATGACTAATTTAAGATTTCAGGTGTTACTAAAGATGTTATGATGCTTAGGTTGTTTTCGAGAACACCCTAAGGAGTTGAAAAGTGTTAGCTAACATCTGAACCGGATGGTACATACTATCACCACATGAAGGCAGTTAAATGTCGGTTTATAAACAATTCAACCCACCTTCCAAGATAGCAAACATGAAGATAAAAATCCAAAATTTTTAACGAGACGAAAAACATTATATGATGCATGCAGGGACAGTTTTAGTAGATGTTCCGGTGTGGCACCGCAACACCAACTTTTTCTATCCGTAGTGGAAAAGTTTTCGATTTTTTTTACCTATTTATCCTGCATCGACAATACCTATTTTAATATCGGCAACACCTACTATGTATTCTTGCGTCCGCCCCTGGATGCATGAGAACGTTACAAGGAGATGTTGCAAAATTTCCTGCAAGATGAACGAAATTACCCTCCTTAAGTCGGTTTTTGGGAGTATTGGGATTTACTATATTGTCATTTTTCTGCGCCCTGAATATGGTAATCAAGATGCTATAGTCTCTCAGAAACCATTTTTTGGGAGGTGATCTTGCCAAAAAAAAAAAGTAACTAGGGTGAAATGGAACAAAGTTATGGCTAGATATTGTGAACATGTTCTGAAAATGGTTGGGAATTGGACACTCATTTTCTAGAGTAGAATCCTTTTACTCAAATGAAAATGGTTATTCTTTGAAGATCATAATGTTTTATGGGTAAAATTTAAATTATTAAAGCACTTTATGATGAAAATGGTCAATTCAGTCATATTATGGCTTCGGAGTTTTTGAATGGTCATTGATTCAATATCTAATGTTTTCTTTCCAACTAAGATCGAGAGTTTTGAGGATCTCGGCTCGTTTTGTATAAAAAATATTGGTAATGGTCAAGTACTAGCGGCTGGCCTTTGGGATGATAAGTAGATGCAAGAAGTACCCTTTAAATCTCGATTTATTAGATCTATGCCTTGGAGATGGATAAAAGCTATACAGTTAGCTCTCATGTACCTTTGAATGTGTGGTCGAGTTCTTGTCTGGGTTGGTGTTTGAGGAACAACAATGGATCACTTTAATAGATAATATGGAGTCGGTTATTCTCTATGATCATGAGAATGATATGTGGTTTTGGGATCTTGATCTATGAGAAGTTTTTTTTGTGTCCTCGACTAGGAATTTTATCAAAAAAATTTTGTTGGTGACGTGAGAAAGTTTACCGGATGAAATAATCTAGTACCCATTAAAGTTAGATATTTTGGCTTGGTAAGTAGTTTAAATCGGGCATTTGGCCAATTCAAACTATGATTAAAAAAGAAAGGTTTGATGTTGAAACTTGAAAGATTCGTATGACAATTCTTGCTAATATTAGGCGATTTCTTCTACGCATCTAGAAACATTCACACTCAAGTAGTCTACTACCAAAAGGTACAGGATACAAAAGAAAACAAAAACCTGATAAATATATAATCATTTAAAAAAAAAAAAAAAAAAAAAAACCTTTTTCAACAAACATTAGATAGTCAATTACATAGGTTGCATCATCACGATTCAATGAAACCTATATCTTTTACCGTATGAAATAAAAGTCATTATAACCTCATTGTTTTGCCTTTAATCATCTCGATACCAAAAAGGGACTTCTACCCATTTGAAAGATGCTAAAAACATGATGATATGAGTAGGGGTGATTATTAGTCTATATATAATGTTGGGTAGGTGGGGTGGGGTGGGGTGGGGTGGGGTGTGAGATATGATGCTTGTTTGTTTGAAACTATTTGGCTCTATCTTGAATGATATCAAACCCCATCTCACTTGGATCTGTTGCTTGGACTTCATAGTGAATCCCATCTAATACTCTTCTCAATCCATCCTTAGATGTTGCATACAACATTTTTGCCCTTATTTTTGATGCACTTGGAGCCCTATAATCAAAATAATCATAGAGACATTCATAGAAACTTTATAATCATGGAAAGTATACTATTAACATGATCAACTCCAATTAGTTATAATTATGATAAATATAATAATCCAATATGTAATAATTAGAGTGGCATACCAACATTGCAATCAAGTCAATTGTCTTTTTTCCTATCCATACATTTGCACCTCTTTATATAAAGTCAAATGTGTGACACCAAATTCACTAAAGTTATTGTCTTTTAGTAAAGAGTTGTACTACTTCCACCCACTCATCATAACTGTTACAATACTTCTGTTTATATCATTAATCTTTGTTATCCTTATCAAATACCATTTTAAATATATCGGATGAATACCCATAAATAGAAAAAGATGTAGATGGTTGTGTCATTATATTAAGAACAAAAAAGATAAACTTAATCAGCTAAGAATTAAATTTCGTGATTACGAAATAGAAAGGGTCTATTATATTCTATATCTAGACGCTCACTTATGATATTATTATTACTATTATTTAATTATTATCATATAGTAGTATTATATTTTTATTTCTTTTAAATATAAGATTGTATTCTTTATGTTTTTTTTTTCTAATTAATACATTATACATTGAACAAGCTACCGATTTGTAAACTATGTTTAGTTAATCAAAGTGAAAATTGGTTTGCAATTGGAACAACATTGTTGTAATTAAGTTCAATTTTAAAGTACAATACACAACATAAAGAAATAAAAGTACTTTATTATGATTAATAATAATAAAAATAATACCTTTATTATGACAAAGATTAAGTTTCTCTAAATATAATTGATGATTGTCCTGGTAAAATACTATTTTGAATTAAGTTTTTGTTAAATAATTTATATTAGAATCATTGTGGGGAACCTTAATCATAACATTTTAATGAACCACATTAATATAATCATGATTTTGATGAGTAAATAAAAATCTAAGCTCGATTATGCTTACAATCTGATGATGTTTAGATTTCTTTTGAAGCTTTTCTAGAATGATTATTTTAAAAAACTCGACAAAAAAATGTCATGACTTTAAAATGTCTAATCTTTATTCACATACTAAAACGTTTTTTAGTATGATAAAAAACCTTAATTAAGGAGTGATTAGTTGCTACTGCCTACTAGCCTACTAATTTCTAAAATCTACATTTGTGGTTTTAAAAGATAAAATTTTAATAGACAATAATTATGAAATTAAATATAATGTTATTTAAGGAGTGATTCATAATTTTATATATGTAAAGTATAGGGAAGAGCAACGAACCATGCAATAAAGAAAATCTTGCTTTTCCGGCAATTGTCGACGGTGACGAAATCGAAATCAAACACCGCATAACGGCAGTCGTCGTCAGGCAGAGAGGCAGTCAGATCGGAATATCCTTCTCCGGCGCCACCAACTTTATCGACGGTCACCAGCTTCGATTTCTCGTCGATTTTAAACACTATATACCTATGAACCTTCTTCCATTTCATCTCCATGAACGAGTTCTTACACTCATCCGCCACCCACATCCCCGTAGTTGCCTGCAACCACCATAACTCAGCCGCCAATTAGTAAGTCATTTTCAATTGCAAAATGATAAAAACAGATATAGATTGAAGTGTAATTGGAAAGTTAAAGAGATAGTTGTCGATGCATACCATCTTGAAAGCCATAGCCATGGCGGTGATTGTTTTTTCTGCCGCCGGTTACGGTGGTTCGAGTGGGAAGCGTGTGGTTTACGGTGGCGGTAGCGTGTGAAAAAAAAAGGAGGGTAGAATGGAATTATGGCGCGTGGTATTGTGAATGTGTGTGTAGAGTTTATATAAATATTTCATCACTCAAATGCCATTGTAGTTGGAGTTAATTACAACTTTGCCTTTTAAGTGATAAAAATTTGAAGCCTGTAGAGTACAAGCGGTTTAATAACTTATTTATTGCAAGAATTATATGTTTCGATAAAAAAAATTAATCATTTTTTTAATTTTTTTTAATTAACTAGTGAGATATCTATATTCTTTAAAACTTATAACTAAATTTTATAGCTTATAACTTAAGGTGATTTTTGTTAATTTGTCGCAACAATCATCATTCAAAGTCATATCTAACAAAATTGGAAATTAATTTAGAGACAAAGAAGATAAAATACTTTCATTTAGATTTTAAATCTCATATTCCTTCCGTTCTAAGAGTTCACGTTTGATTTTTAAAGTATTTGTATATCAACTTTAACCATAAATAACTTTATTTGTATTATATAATGTTTTATGAAACTTAAGGGGTGTTTGGCTTAGTTTTTTAGAGGCTAAAATATATTTTTGGAAAAGTTACAAAAAATCAGATTTTCATGACTTTTCCAAAAAATTGATTTTTTTTCTTTGCAAAATCCAAAAGTAGTTTTTAGAAGTCCTTTGCCAAACATCTTTGGCCTATAATCTTTTTCTAAAAGGATTTTTACTCACTCAAAAGCTAAGCCAAACACCCCCTTATAACAATAAAAATACATTTAAAAGGCAATCTATTCATATATCTTGCATAAAAAATTATATAATAAAAAATAAATTATTTAAGGTCAAAGTTTAAAAAAAAAAACTTAAAAAGTCAAACGTAGACAATAATTTTGGAACGGATCCAGTATTTTTTTTATATGTAATTTATTAGAATTGAAATATATTTATATTGTTAATTACTTATTCTTATAATGATTAGTTATCTTGGTTCATTTAACTAATTATAAAACAATTAACACATTGATCATGCAATTAGCTAACTAAATATTCAAATTACGAAAGACTTGATATAATTTGAAAATCAATTGAAGGATAGCCTCGCCATCTAATGGTCTCTTCCACATGTAAATTCACAATTATATAATCTAACTTTAGCAGTCCATCTTTAGTGCTACCAGATTATTGTCATAAAATAATTAAGATACAAATTAATATAATTATATTGGCCATCTAGACTATATAACACTCAGTTGTAGGCAATTAAGGTAAGCGATTAACAAACATAACAAATAATCAAACTTTATAAATCCAACAAACAAATCAAACCAAAGTATTAAGGTTTCTTCTACATCGAATCGGAAGTAAAGAGTATTACCCAATGATCAGTAAATAAAAACATTAAAACAACAAAAATGAATTGCTAAACATGATCATAAAGCAAACTCATTTGTACTCCTAATGCTTTAGCTTTTGATTCTTCAAATCTTCGCTCCAAAGTGCTTCTCCAACTTCGAAATTAAGGATCTCAACAGGACCAAACGGGAACAGAAATAGTTGCCCACGCCCACGCCCACGCCCCCAAATCCCATGTTTACATAGCTTCTGATACTACCCCCCAATACAATCATCACCCCCGATCCTGCCCCCGTTCCCCCATTTTTTAGGCTTAAAGTTAACTTTTTGCTAATAAAAATTGCTATATTTTGGGCTAAAAAAACAATTTTACATAAATTTAAAATCTTGTTTTTTAGCAACTAAAAAATTGAAAATCCAACATTACAAAACGACAAATCCAACAAACATACAAATATAAAATATAACAAATCCAACATTACAAATATATGCAATTACCTTTCTACGAAACTTACAAACAGCCATTGCGGTTCCATTAACATCTTCATAGGTGAAATGACGCCAAATTGGAGATTTAAATTTCATTTGTTTCTCATTACAATCAACTGTAGAACCGGACGATATCATTAACCGTGTTTGAATCATTGGGTTGATTCGGATCTGCTGAAGACATGATTACAAAAATCTAAAAATGGTTCACACAAAAATAGAAATCAGCATAACTAATAGAATAATAGATTACTAATAGAATAATATGTTACAAAAACAAGATTCAGGAACATTTTCAGATTACAAAAACCAGATTCAGGAACATTTTCAGAGCAACATCAGATCCAACAACATTTTCAGATTAACGTTTTCATAGCAACATCAGATTAATCAACATTTTCAGAGCAACATCGGATTCAACAAATTACACAGATGACAAATATCAAAAATCATAGCAGCATCATAGATATCATAAAACTATCATAAATTACACAGCAACATCACATATATCAGAAGTCATACTCCTCAAAGTATCAAATTATCAATTCAGATATCATAAATTGTCATAACCATAGTCTCAAACTCTCAATAGTATCATATATTCAGAATGAATTGAATACGCACAGGATAAATTACTAAAAACTTCAGAGAGGAAAATATAGGGTAAATTACCACTTACCAGGGAGTCTCAGTTCGATTTTAAAGAAGGGATGTGAAGTCACGAAGTCAACTGTCGAGTATACACGAAGTTGAACACACAGTCGACTGTCAAGTCGATTTTCAACATCAATTTTCTGCAAAAACAAGGTCGTGAAGACTGCGGAAGAGCGTCGCCAGGTGGAAGGGCGTCGGTAAGCTGAAGGTAACCAGTGGCCGGTGACTGTGTCGTCGACGAAGCTAATGACAAGAATGGTCGGCGTTGGGTCTTGGAATCTTGGGTCAGTTGGGTGGGACTGTGAGAGAACTGAGAAGTCGACGTGAAGGTTGAAGCTGTATGTGTGAAGTGTGATTGAGGAAGGAAAGTAGGATACCCTAAAATTATATATATATAAAGGGTATATAAGCTTAGCTATATTGTTTTGTATCATATAATACATTATATACAAAATTATATAGACGGTCCTCATGGTTGACAAAATCGACCAATGACGAATTCTTTACACAGATGGTCCCTGTGGTTTCAAAATCTTGCAAAAACGGTCTTTTTGACAAATGGCGTTAACTTTTTCAGTTAAATCCTATGTGAAATGACATATATTTGCCCTTCATGCATAAGGACGCTTTATGTAATATATTTCTACCACAGGGATCATTTATGTAATTTTCTTTATTATTTATTATATTTTTATTTATTTTAATTATATATTTAAGGATTTAAATTTGTTTAAATTTATTATATATATATATATATATATATATATATATATATATATATATATATATATATATATATATATATATGATAACATTTTTTAACGTTTTGCTCAAATTATTTTTCCTAATCTTTTTGACATTTTCTTCAAGTAAATTTATTAATGTTTTTTTATTTTGATGTTATATATATATATATATATATATATATATATATATATATATATATATATATATATATATATATATATATATATATATATATATATATATATATATATATGGTAACATTTTTTAACGTTACGCTCAAATTATTTTTTCTAATCTTTTTGACATTTTCTTCAAATAAATTTATTAATGTTTTTTATTTTGACGTTTTATTCGAATATTATTTATTTATTTATTTGACGTTATGTTCGAATACATTTTTCAACTATATAAGGTTGTATAATTATTCTTTTTGTAAACTAATGTATTAACATTTTTTTTATAAAAAAAGTTTAAAATGTTTGTTAAACGTGAATATGATTAATATAGATTAGGTAGACATATGCAAAGCTGAGACCGTCTCACAACGTTGTTGAGAACGACCAGATCATTTCACATTGGATTTAAATCTAATTATTTCGATATTTTTTCTTTTTAGCAGTGTTGTAAAAAATCACAACGCAAGGGCCTCTAAACGGTTAGGTTGCACTTAGGGATTAATCTAAGATTAATCGGGACCTAGTTGTGATTTTTTACAACACTGCTAAAAACAAAAAAAAAATAACTCGAAATAATTACAATTAAATCAAATGTGAAATAACCCGATCGTTCTCGGCAACGTTGTGAGACGGTCTCAGCGTAGCCTATGTTTACCAAATCTATATTAATGATATTCACGTTTAACAAACATATTACACTTTTTTATAAAAAATGTTAATAAATTAGTTTAAAAAATAATAATTATACAACCTTATATAGTTAAATATTTGAATTAAAAAAAATAATAATTATATAACCTGATAAAAGAAAAAAAATGAAAACATAATTGAAAGTGAATTAAGTTACAAATTATAATTACAATATTCGTGAAATCCTTTAACAAATATAAACATACTAATAAATAAATAAATAATATTCGAATAAAACGTCAAAATAATAAACATTAATAAATTTACTTGAAGAAAATGTCATAATGATTAGAAAAAATAATTTGAGCAAACCGTTAAAAAATCTGAGCATATATATATATATATATATATATATATATATATATATATATATATATATATATATATATATATATATATATATATATATATATATATATATATTAAACAGTAAATTTAAACAAATTTAAATACTTAAATATATAATTAAAATAAATAATAAATAATAAATAAAAGAGAAAATTACATAAATGGTCCCTGTGGTAGAAATATGTTACATAAAGCGTCCTTATGCATGAAGGGCAAATATGTCATTTCACATAGGACTTAACTGAAAAAGTTAACACCGTTAGTCAAAAGGACCGCGTTTGCAAGTTTTTGAAACCGCAGGGACCATATGTGTAAAGAATTCGTCATAAGGACCATGATTGGTCGATTTTATCAACCATGAGGACCATTTATGTAATTTTGTCTACATTATAATTGTCCAATGTTCTTATAATTTAACTTCTAAATTGATTTACTTCCATTATTTTTATAAATTACACATTTATCTTCCTCTTACTTAATTTTCATTTTCAACTT